ATTGTAAGGAATCCATAGCCATATTCACGAGTGGGCTCAATGATAGTGCCCTCTCCGTAGTCATTCCAAGTGCACACCTGTACCACATCAGTGTAAGATAGCGCCAGATCAAGGGTGGTCTGGAAGTTGGCCAGACTTGTGGGTATCTTATAGCCGGGTCCGGCACCCCATCCGCCCTCCTGGTAGGCGTCATCAAAGCCGGGATAAGCGACTCCTATCTTAAAACCAGTGGCTCTCGGATACCATGATTTGAGTCCATCGAGAAATGTGGACCAAATCCATGCAAACTCACCGCCAGCTGTTCCACCCGTTTGTTGCATTTGGTTCCAGAGGGACAGGAAGAGTGGCTTTTGACTCAAAACGCTGAAAGCTTGCACCCAATCGCCGCCCTGAAGACCCTTCTGGGGGCCAAAGTCAAGGAGAAGCGGCTGTCCATTGATTTTAATATAATTAGGTTTTGAGAAATAGTTTTGCTGCAAATAAGTCATGTCTTTCTTGGCCTGTCCGATATGGTCCGGCATTTTGGCCAAATCCAAATTATTGTCTTCATATACGACCGCAAACTCGAGTCCCGCTCTTTGAGTGCCAGCAATGATGGCTTCGGCGTTACGCATATTAGTGCCGTAATCGAGTAGTCCGGACGACCCTGGCCAATCTATCAGCACACCACTAATGCCCGACACTTTCATGAGACCCAATTGCCAGTCAATTACCTTCGGGTCTCCGGAAGCGTATAAATCAATGAGTGGGTAGTAATGCGATGCGATTTTGCGTTTGTCACCAACCATTTGATCAGGGTTGAAATTGGCCATTGACCAGTGGATGCCCCACTTCCCACCGCCCGATACTTTGGTCTCAAACCACGGCATTATATGAACTAATACTTTCTTACCGCCCGGATGTGGAGCACTCGTCGGTCCCGGGGGTGCGACTGTTCCCCCTGTTTTGAAGAAACAGTTGGGTTTTCCGGGAATGGTTACCACTTCCCAACAGCAGCCCTTTGCCACACACGAGTCGGGAGTCGTGTGAACGTCTCCGCAGTCTGTTCGGGAAGAGACGGGAATTGCCAGACAAACGGGATCTACGGTATGATTGCCCTCATTCTTGTAGTAACAGTTGGGTTCGTTGGGAACAGTAGTGATGTTCCAACAGCAGCCCTTCGCTACACAACTGTGCGGAGTTGTGGTCACATCTCCGCAGTCTTGACGCGCGGCGACAGTGAAATCGCATTTAGGATCGATGGGTCCCGGAGAGCTGGTCGGGCCCGGAACGGTCGGCCCCGGAGTCCCTGTAACCGGTCCTCCAGTCTTGAAGAAACAGTTGGGCTCACCCGGCATTGTCTCCACTTCCCAACAGCAGCCTTTCGCTACACACGAGTCGGGAGTCGTGTGAACGTCTCCACAGTCTGTTCGGGAAGCGACGGGAATTGCCAAACAAACGGGATCTACCGTATGATTGCCCTCATTTTTATAATAACAATTGGGTTCATTGGGAACAGTAGTGATGTTCCAACAGCAGCCCTTCGCTACACAACTATCGGGTGTTGTGGTCACATCTCCGCAGTCTTGACGCGCGGCGACTATGAAATCGCATTTAGGATCTACCGGTCCCGGAGAGCTGGTCGGTCCCGGAACAGTCGGTCCCGGAGTCCCTGTAACTGGTCCTCCAGTCTTGAAGAAACAGTTGGGCTCACCCGGCATTGTCTCCACTTCCCAACAGCAGCCCTTAGCAACGCATGAGTCGGGAGTCGTGTGAACGTCTCCACAGTCTGTTCGGGAAGCGACGGGAATTGCCAGACAAACGGGATCTACGGTATGATTGCCCTCATTCTTGTAGTAACAGTTGGGTTCGTTGGGAACAGTAGTGATGTTCCAACAGCAGCCCTTCGCTACACAACTGTCCGGAGTTGTGGTCACATCTCCGCAGTCTTGACGCGCGGCGACTATAAAATCGCACTTAGGATCTACCGGACCCGGAGAGCTGGTCGGTCCCGGAGCCACAGTGACGGGTCCACCCGTTTTGAAGAAGCAGTTGGGTTCTCCCGGTGCGGGTTCTACTTCCCAACAACAGCCTTTAGCAGTGCATTGAGTGGGTGTTGTAGTGACATCACCGCAGTCTTGTCTGGAAGCGATGGGAATTGTGGGACAAATGGGATCTATTGTATGGTTGCCCTCATTTCGGAAGAAACAATTGGGTTCGTTGTGGACAGTCGTGATGTTCCAACAGCAGCCCTTCGCTACACAACTCTCGGGTGTTGTGCTCACATCTCCGCAGTCCTGTCTATCGGGCAGCGGCACAGTTAAACATGTGTCCACCTGTGCGTAGACCTGAAC